GAAAGATAGATGATCGCCTAAGTGTGTATCGCGCATGGCACATAACTGACTGACTGACTACTTAAGTAAATTCGTCCTCGGTTAAAACACTTGTTATATTTAAATTTTTGCATTTGTTTTACTTACAATTCGCATATTAAGGTCTCCATTTTGCTTACTCGTAATTCCACCCGGATTAAAAGAGGTGTCGGAAAATCGATGGTATTTGTATGAGAAAAAACAATAGCAACGATAGATGGATGACAGACATGGAGTAATTAGACTCCATTACTTTACTAGGAGTTGATCTTTAATAAAAGAAATATGCTTTGTTCATTACGATGAAAATCTAAAAGAACGCAATTACCTCTCAACGCTTTAAGCTCGAAAGCAAATTGTCATATTTCAAATGATAATATGAAGGTAGAATAAGTCCTCGTATTATAGCATGAAAATTAGAAATTAGACTTTCAAATATGAACCACGTGATCATACAATTCACTAACGAAGGGAAATTCTTGCTTCTCATCTATGTCAACTTGGCCCATGAGAAAAGTGACATCATTCGATGAGAATTGACAAAAGGAAAAAAAAACTTATATGGCAGAGTTTGTCCAAGTACAAATGTACATTAACCTTATCATATTGGTTATTTTGACAAAGTACACAGGGATTGAAATATACAAAAGTTGCCTTCCAAAAGCTAAGCAAAGCACTGAGAAACAGGAGAATTTCGTTAGAAAGAAAGAAAAAATGTTGAACTGTTATGTAATATCATTCCTCTTGTAAGACAGTGAATGCTGGACAATCTCCTCACAGATGAAAAGAAAGCTAGAAGCAACAAAATCTGGTTCTGCAGAAGGATGCTGAGAATACCATGGATGAAGCGCGTAAGCAATGAAGAAGGCCTAAGGAAAATGGGAACAAAAAATGACACATATGAGGTGTGGTGTAATGGATAACGTCTCAGAATATAAAATCAGAGAGCCGAGTTCGAATTCTTGTCGGGTTTGTAACATTCACTTATGCGGAAATACACTTGGAAAAGCTATGAATCCATTACTTCTCCCCTTTCCCAACTATGAACTGAGCCTTGGTTGGCAACCAGTCTACCATAGAAAGAAGCGGCAGCCTATTACGGAAATCTTCTGTCTAGTCTGTCATAAATCGAAAGAGACATGATCAACCATTGACTTATATACTGTCAGTTATATGCCATGCGTGATACACGCTTAGGCGATCATGTATCTTTCGATACTTGACTGACGAGGCAGATTTTTCCCGTAATAGGTTGCCATTTCTTTCTGCGGTAGACTAGTTGCCATCCAAGGCTATAGAATCCGGTCTACCCTGCTATTTACCCATAGCTAGAAGAGGATTGATATCTTTCCCAAGGGTGTTAGCACGTAAGTGAATGTAATGGATTTAACTGGTATTCTAACTCGGCTCTCCGATTCCTCAATCCGAGCCGCTATCCACCGTGTCTCCTTATACACTGAGACAGCTGAAATTTCTTGACCAAATTTCTATTTATCAATCATTTCTGTCTAATATAGTAATGGAAAAGCAATAAAAAAGACACGCCATAATTGATACACTGAAAGAAAACGACAGAAATTATTACATAATGTAGTAATGGAAAAGCGATAAACAAGGAGACATCATCAATTGTAAGAAGATAGGATGTATAGTCATTAGCAAAAGAGACAGCTGAAGATGCGTTCTCTGAATTGAAGACGTCAGAATCAAGAAAGTACTGAAATTTAAATATCTGCTGAAAAAATCTGACGCAAAATCTCGAAGGTGCATAGGAATATCGAAAGATGATTTTCAGAAACTAAACAAACTATTTAGGGATCTGAAAAAAAGATAGAAAAAAAAAGAAGTGTGCTCAACATTTATAATCTTTTTATAGCAGTGAATGATGGACAATTTCATAACAAAAAGGGACTTGAATATGTGATTCTACAGAAGGATGCTGAGAATGCCATCACATGAGCAACGAGGGAGTTTTAAGGTAAATGTGCACGAAAAGGACATATAATTAAAGCCAGAAAGAGACAGCTGAAATAATGAGAAAAGAGGGCTTGGAGAATTTGATACTCACAGGACATAACGAAGGCAAAAGAGACAGAGGGAAACATCGAGTTACCTGCTTAACGAGCTTATGTCGATAGATGACAGAACAGGGAGTGGGAGGAATAGTAAAGGGACAAACATTCCTAACAGCTACAAAGGAGAGGAAGTTGTTGTAAGCCATAATCGTCCATGTCTTGAAGTGACGTGGCACATAGAAGAAAAAGAAATGAGTTTTTAAAAATCACGAAAAAAATTTGATGCAAATTAAAACACTTGATTGTCTTGTCAGGAATTTAATCAAAACTCTTGGGGAAATTTTATTTCGTTATACTTAGAAACAGTGCTGATTCTGACAAGCAAAAATCAATCTAGCATGTTCTGTTTTCGTTTTTGTTGTTTTTAAAAAAACATTTTTCCCAACATTCTTCTGAAATTTCTAACCACCAAAATATTCGAAAAAGAGGAACAATTAGACTGATTTAAAAATCCAGGGAATCATTGATCTTTTCGTTGTGTTCATAACTTCGTGCTTAATTATTTCCTTTTATTTAGCTGCACATTTTTCGCTGTTATTGTCACCACTCCCCCATTATTTCTGTTGTAATTGTGGTTCACGGTGACATTCAATGCAAAATAGTGCAATGGTTTGCCGGTTCTTTTTGCACCATGGATGTTGAGGTTACCCCGTCTCTCCTCTCAGAATCTCATCTGCTCATTAGTAAAGCCGTTGACCACAGAGGTGGAGCTCCTACGCCAAGTATGGCCGATGGCCGATGGCCGCTTGGCATGATGGATTAGGGGAAGCATTCTCCTTCATTGGTCGGGTCGGAAAACCCTTCAGACTACTCTCATACAATTTAGCCGGCATGTCGATGCTGTTGACCGAGGTTTGTCGCTCGCCCATGCGACTTCTGAGAGCCATCTGGGAGTTGGATGTAGGCCGGGGACCATCCCAATTCACTTGTGTAAAGCAGAATCGACCGCTTCGCCGCAAAGGTACTACTACTGACGACACACCCCTAATTTATTATTAATTATATTATTATTATATTAATTTATTATTTACACAATTTATATTCGAAATTTTGTCTTCATCTTCGTTCCTTTTATTACAGCGTTATATCTAGGGATGTCTGGTCTAATTCATTCCTAGACGTGGGTAGTGGAATAAGAATAGTTTATCCCCATAGATTAAAGAGAGGGTTCAGTTCAGAATTCCCCACAGGTTACTCAGATAAATATACTCCTGTGGAAGGACAGAGGACACAACGACCGAAAGGTTAGTATAAGAATAACAAAGATGGGGGCAATAGTCTGAATATAAATAGTGTAAATAATGATAACTCCTCATCCCAGAAATTCAAACTTCGTTTTATGCCAGATAATGTCTTAAAGATATGCATTCATTTTAGGAAAATCCGGCAAGTGTTATATAGTAGTAGGGAGGTAAGTGTTATATAATTATACGGGGATAATTGTTATATAAGTGTATAGGGGTAAGTGTTATATAGTTATACGGAGGTAGGTCAAAAATTATCCGCACTTTCACCATAATATATCTTTAGACAGGAGTGTTGATAATTTTTGATTCCCCTCGTATAAATTCGTGATATTCACATTTAAACTTACGAAATGAAAAGATGCACGATGATAATGTCAAGTGTGTGTGTGTGCGCGCGCGCGTGCGTGTGTGTGTGTGTGTGTGTACTTGTTTGTGCTCGGGAGAGAGAGAGAGAGAGAGAGAGAGAGAGAGAAAGAGAACGCTTGTGTGTATATTGCATTCAACCGAAGTGTTTCTTCAGGTTGATCTTGCACAGAGACACGGGCTTTGTCGATAAAGCCACAACTGCAAGCCAAATCGATGACCTTTTAGTTGGCATTGTAACAGTGGCAGGTGTACCTGCATATTGTTATGTTCTTAAAAAAAAAACTTTTGCTTTGGCAACCGCATAACTGCATTTTCTTTTTTTGGTTTGTTTGTGTTTTTTCCTCTTTCTTTTTTTTTCAAACTAGATAAAAATTGAATAAATAAATAAAACTTCTGTAAGCAATTATGCAGAAATACAGTTCAATTAGATTGAAAAGCCAGTCTTTAAAAACGCTTCTCTTTGTATACAAGAACATTTTGAAAACTTCTTGACCTGACCCCATTTCCCAAAAATCTGACGAAATCAGCAAACACTAGACATTTTTTTTTTTTTTTTTTTGTAGGGCAAAGAACTTTTCTGCTCCACCTCGTACAACTGGATATAATTAATGCTGAAAAGATGCATAGCTATCGGGTAAGATCATCTGTTTTTTTTTTTTTGTTTTTGTTTTTTTTTGTTGTTTTTTTGCATGATTAACTTAAGTTTAAAACTCTGGCCTGAATCTCTGACATTTTGACCTTGCTGTTTAAGCGATCACCTTACTCAAGAACCAAAAAATCGGAAGCAGTTTTTATGCAGAGAAAAATGGGAACCAGGCAACTGGTCATCATTTTGGATGTTCTGACTGACGCAAAGACAAGTTCGAATCTCAATTCATACGGAAGTCAAAGAAGGTAAGCGGAGAGAAATCAACAGCATAGAGAAAACTGTCATGGCGTCTAGCATTGACACGAATTATAGCGAAACAATCTAAAATGAAATTAATATTAATATATGAATCTCTTTGTTTCTTTTAGTCTAAGCTCTTTGATTAATTCGTTTTCTACACTTTGTCAACCTTTTGCAGGTTATTTAAAACCAGAAAATATTTTTCGATTGTAAGATTTCTTGGTGATAATAATTATTTAGTAATACAAGTCTTACTAATTAACCTATACTTGGGAGAGAGAAGAAGTAGATTCAATTATTTTCCAAGAGGATCTGTGCGTAAGTAAATATAAAGAACCCGACTTGAATTGGAACTCGGCTCTCCGATTAAGAATCCCGAGCCATTATCCATTGCACCACCCGCTTATAGCACTTGGTCTTCCCCCAGCGGTCACCCATCTAGGTACTGACCAAGCTCGGCATTGCTTAACTTCGATGATTGTATGGGAGCCGGTATTTTAACCTGATATACCCGTAAGCCTAAGCTCTTTGTTGCAAATTAATTAGTTTGAAGCTTAAATATAGCATACTTTTGGATATACCGCCCCGAAAATAGCAACGCACGTGACCGGAAAAGGTTAATATTTAATATTTTTATTCTAATTTTGATAGGAAATGAAGATTGTGATGATATATAACGTATTCCAGCTTCGAAGCCTCTCATTTCAAAGCGAAACCAAAGGGCACGCCTGGAGTATGCGAGAGAACATGTTGCTTGGACTGACCCACAATGGGATACAGTTCATTTCAGTGATGAGTCCAAGTTTACTATATTTGGTTCTGAGGGCAAAACTTACGTACGCCGTAGAACAGGTGAAAGACTGTCTTCTTAATGTGTCAAGAAAACCGTTAAGTTTAGTGGCGGCAGTGTGATGGTGTGGGAAATGATTTCATCTGCAGGAGCTGGCCCTATCATCCGCGTACATGGCAATATCAATGCTGAGATTTACAAAAGGCTTCTTCAGCAGCATGTGGTACCAAGATTACACCATAATCTTTATGAATCTCCTATTTTCATGCAGGACAATGCACCTTGCCACAAGGCTCAGAAGGTTATGGCTTTATTTGAAGAAGTAATCGCCCTAATAAAGTGGCCAGCGCAGAGCCCCGACCTGAATCCAATAGAAAATGTTTGGAAGATAATTGGAGAAAGGGCTCAGAAAAAACCCGGAAAAACCAAGATCACCTATGGGAGTTATTGAAAGACGAATAGGAGGGAATTACTGCTGATTTTTGCAAGAAATTAATTAAATCATGTGGTCGACGATGCGGAGAAGTCATTGAAAATAAGGGTATGTGTACCAAATATTAAATTTTGTTGATATTTTGTTCACAATCAAGTATTAACAAGATCGTTCCTTAACTTTTGTCCAGTAGCTTATTTCCTTTGTTCCATTTATTTAAAAAAACAAACTATTATGTACATTTTTGTAACTTTGTATAATATTTATGCATTACACCCTAATCTTTATTCGGTAAAAATTTCATTGCTAATCATGCATTACTTTTTAAGTAATACACATATTTATGTCTTTGTTGTTTCCGTTCCTTATATTATGACCGCTATGCTCATATCACAGTCTGTTCCTATTTATCTTAGTCTCTACAGTATGTTCCTACTATCTCAGTTTATATCTCTCTACCTTTCTATCCCAATCTGTTCATACCTACCTACCTACCTACCTACCTACCTATCTATCTATCTATCTATCTATCTATCTATCTATCTATCTATCTATCTATCTATCTCAATCTGTTCATAACTATATATCTATTTATCTCTTTATCTATCTCAGTTTGTTTAGATCTATCTACCTCGGTTTGTTCATATTACAGTCTGTTACTATCTATCTATCTGTTTGTTCAGTATGTTTCTACTAGCTGTTCACATTTCTATCTATTTGTTCATATCTATCCATCTATTTTCTAAATCTGTTCATATCTATCTCTCTATTTCAATCTGTTTATATTTATCTATCTCCTTCTGTTCGTATCTATCTATCTATCTATCTACTTTTCCTTCAGGTTTTCCTTTGGGACAATTTTCTTTTTCCCGTGTCTACAAGAATGCATGAGGTTATGCCATTATATAACCTTTGCTTAGTTTTCTAATTTATTCATAATATATGATTCATTCCTCTTCAAGTGAGGCGGCCAGAAATAATGTCACTCAGAACTGTATCGTTTGTACTTTCCTTGCTTGCACTCTAATACCACCATTCTTATAAATAATCTAATTTTGTTCTATGTAGACCATTTGTAACAAAATATCTATTTTGACTTAACTTGACGTGTAAGAAACTATAATGAAAAATGATCATGTGTAATTATGCAAGTGTACGTGCGTGTGTGTGTGTGCGTGAATGTGTTCGCATTTGTGGACGAGTGACCCATAAAATGAAAATTACGAAGCAGTTAAACAATTGTCTTGAAATAAAATGCTTATAAAAACATATACTTATGTTACTTCCTCTTCAAATTCCTAGTATTCGAAACAAACAGTAAGATAAGATTTTATAAATTATTATTAATTGTTTGACCAATAATTCTTTTTTCTTACTGGCTTTTTCCATTGCTTTTTATCGCTACTTTTTTTTTTATTATTATATTTGGCATGGCGGGGGGGGCATTGCGGGGGTTGTATATGTTATTTCAAAACATCGGCGATTTATAGATCTCTACAGATTCATTTTCTTTATTATCTGTGAATTACCATGACTTCTTGGGAAAGATAGTGGAGGAGCTTCCCGTTGACTTCTTCGCATTTTTCAATTCAGAATAGTCTTCCTCATTAACTGTCAGACACCGAAAGCTTAACAGTCCACTTTGCCCTGCTTATTCAACCCATAGCTGCTCGGGGAGAAGATTCGTCCCTTTCTCAGGAGTATTTATGCGAAAGTGAATGCAATAGATTAGGCTGGAATTTAAAGATGGTGGGCCAACTGCGATTTCCACGCCGATAGTCGTTACGCTACCTGCACATATGTCAGTAAGGAGTGCATATCAGAAATAAAGAATAATCCTTCGACAAGACTCGAACTCATCTCCTTTTTCTTCATTGATCAAGTATGCCATAGCAAGACAGCTTCCATGCCGATCGGCAAAGGGTTATAATGGCTCAATTTTAATTATAGATCTTTCATTGTTCATTTTTTTTCCCTGAACGCTATAGTATTAATATTAATTTATTATTAAATTGAGCATTGTTCCTTTCGGTTGAAATTTCCTACATTTTTATTTTATTTTACTTACTTTTAATCGTAACTTCTCAGATTCTCGTTCTACAGCTGTCGGTAAAGGGCCTATGTCGCAAATAAGGAATAAACCTTTGTTGAGAACAGAACCCACTACCTTTTTTCTTCGGGAAGTCTGGCAACGTGACATCTGTGCTATCCATTAGACCACAGAAGCTTAAATTTAACTATATAGCTTTCATTCTTGGCCTTTACCAAAACACCTGATTCGCTGCCATCTTTATGTATCTCTTCAGGACGTGGGTGATCATGGCTCTCCACAATTTATTGTCCTTTGTAGCCCTTTAGTAAAGTTTTGTGTTTTTGCTATATCTCTTGTTCTTTTTTTTTTTTTTTTTTTTTTTTGCTGTCCTGGGTATGACGATAAACTACACCCGCGTCCTGGGTAAGACGATAAACTACGTCCAACAGCAAGGCCTCTAATCAGGAGGTTTTGAGGAGCGTGGAACCACCTCTTAATTGTGGTGGTAGCACTTGTTAGGGTCCCAGCTATGGGCAAATAGTTAACACCCAAACTTGTGTAAAAATAGATTTTAATACCAGAAATGCTTTGTAATAAAAATTATTACTAGCAATAATTTTTTAAAGAAAAATTGTTATCAGCAATACTTTTAAAAAATACCAGTAATGCAAACAGCTATACATTCTTAAGAAATTGGATTGTACTCAAAAATATGAGTAATTAAAAAATGGTTCAAATATATATGTATACATACACACATTTTTTCCAAACTATCGCTATGAATCTATTTCAAAATTTTGTTGGCATTAAATGACCCACTGAGGTTGATATGCCATAAAAACAAAACAACCAACCAAAACAACCTTGTTTTGCCAACAATTTACACAAGATTGTTAGTAAGGTTATGTATTGCTTTCTTCTGTTCCTTTCGCATTCAATCTGTCCTGTAAGTATCAGATTTACCAAACCCTCTTTCCTCATTATGTGCCCATGAAATTTCAACTCTCTCTTTTTTATGCTACGTATAAGTGTCCTTTTTGTTTACATTTTCTCTAAAACTTCGCCATTGCTCGAGCGTTCAGTTAATGGTAGCTTCTATAGAACCACATTTTTGTTGCTTCAAGTATCTTCTTCATCTGTGAGGAGATTGTTCAGCATCCACAAAAAAGGAGGACTAATATCACATAACAGCTCAGTACTCTTATCTTTATTTCTAATAATATTTTTCTGTTTCTCAATACTTTGCTTTGCTTTTGGAAGGCAACTTTCGTTATCCCAATGCGTCTTCGGATTTCCATGACACTATCTGGCCTCTGTTAAAACACTTCTCTGATATTTAAATTGTTGTACTTGTTCGAAATTTGGATCATGGATGCAGATACTATATTTATAAAACAAAAATATGATAGATTTTGACAACTATGGGTAATCCCTTGATTATGTAGAATGTGGCTAACACCAACAGGTATTGGACCCAAATAAGGTACCATTTTGTGGAGTATTTTCCGTGTCAGCACGAGTCATTTATCTATTTGTAAATGTTTCTGTTGATGAGATGGTGAGATAACGGCAAAATACTGGATTAATTGAAGTAGTACAATTCTTAGAAAAGCTGAAAATACTGTCCGAACCGTTTGTGTTCGTCTGGTATTCGCACGCCAGGAGCATCGCTTCTCCCGACCACGGGGTGGGTGATACTGGTGTTATATAGCTATCTAAATCCCAGACCCACGCTAACTATTGGCTATTACCTGTCTAATATCGTTCATATGCAAATATCTCCAAATAGTCAGCTATATTTAGCTGTCCCCCACGTTTAATGTATCATCCGGGGCCTGTCGTTCCTTCGAACCCGCCTAAATATCAACCACCAAACGAAACCATGCCCTTCAGCAAAGCTTCGTCCGGTTCCTCCCTGCTAATGCAGAGAGTTAGACAGACGGCTGTTGCTGTAAGTTTAATACAAATAGTCAGCGCCGCCTACTCTTCTGCTCAACAGCCTTTTATGGAAGAGGAGGCAACTCTTGGTGCTTCCAGCATCACCTACAACCAACCCGAAGTCTTTTCTCGGGCTGAACCGATTCTCTGTTACAACGTTGTATTAAATTGACAAACAGGAGTATCTTCTTTTATGTGCTGTTTCCCTCAACCACGTGGGCACTCATGGCATTATACAATCTTTTACTCTTTGTAGCATCATGTAATGTTTGTCTTCTTACTATCTCTCCAATTCGTTGTTTTGCCATCCATTTACACAAACT